TGGAATGCTGCATTCTGTCCACCTGGAATGCTGCAGACACTGCTGAACAATGTGCTTCCCTTCTCTGCTGTAAAGATACCAGGATTTTTTTTTTTTTTTAAGGTATCTTTCCAGCTTAGTGTTTCAAACTATCCAGTAAAAGCACAAAAATAAGGGTGTTAAGAAAATAAATAAAAAGCTTGACACAGATTTGAGCAGTGCAATAAAATACCTCAATAAGGAGAAAGTTGTACTTTTCACGTACTACTTTAGGAAAAAGAACTACACTGCCATCCAAGTAAAAAAGTGGTCTGCTTTACTTTACATTATGCTTGTAGAAAAAGAAAGATCTCAGCAATATCTGGTAAAAGCTGTGAGCTAGAACCAGCTTGCAGCTATACAGGTGCATGCACGCATTCACACACACATAATTAGAGCGTCTATCAGGTAAATATAAGTGGACATGATGCCTTCTAAACCCAAGAAAATTGTTACTATTCCCTTATGGGAAACCTCATACAAACACCCCTGCAAACACCCATACACCCTAATACAAAGTTTTCTAAAAGAGGTTGCAGTTGTGATACCAACTCGAATCATGAGAAGAATTCAAGAACTCCAGAAGATGTGAGTATCTTTTTTAAAAACGGCACATTATTCAACACGTGTGTTTGCCCAGCGTTGTCCTTATTCCTGCTTTATCTGTTACCAAAACGGATTAAAATCCGAAGTGGAAAACTTATTTCTACTGCTCATCCYTCTCTTCATCTTTTGCGCAGCTTCTGCAGCCTCTTGCTCGGAGCAGCAGTGGGCAGGACCCAGTCCAAGAAGCAACTGAGAAATGATAAAAACCTATTTTGGGCCTAGGGAAGAGCACAGCAATCCTCCCGTCCCAAGCAAACTCCATCAAGAGCTCAAGACACTTCTCAAAGGGAGCTGAAGATCAAATACCATAGAGGACAGCAGTCCCTGCATGGAAACAAGACTGGAGGCCCAGCAAACGCGTGAGCAGAGGCCATCACAACACGTGTCTTTCACAGCTCTTCCACRAGAAGCTGAGGGATTTGTCCTGTTTTCTCGACACCTGCTCCTTCGGTAAACCCTGCCAGCCTCAGGGATATGCAGCAGGTTTATCATTTTTATTCTTGCAAGGGAAAAAATGTCTCGGCRAAGCTTCTGTGAGTCAGCCTGTCAAGACAGATCCTCTTAAGCCAAGCAGTAAGAAGGGGGGGAAAAATCCACAAAACTATCAATTTCTAATAATTAGGAAGAGGAAAGGTCTGATTAACCAAGGCTTGCAGCAGCTGGCAAATCAAGGTCTTCCCAAAGGAAGAAGGACACTTGAAGAGGAGAGATATAACTTTGGTTTCTGAAGAGCTGCTTCCTTCCCAGAGCTGCCTACCTACAAGGAACTCATTAGGATCCTTTATTTGGTTAGATTTAAGATATTAAAAAAAAATAAAAWATAAAAAAGGGGGAAAAATCCTATGAATTAAAGTTTTAACAAAATCTGAATTCAGCGATACAGGTATTAAAAACACGAGAAGTTGTATCATGATATCAACATTCAAGATGGACAAGAGAGCACAAACTGATGCCCATWTGCCCCACTGAAACCACATTCCTGAAACAGAACTGAAAAGCTTTCAGTATTACCACAGCTATGGTGAAGCATGAACTCCTGGCAACCTGCTAATAATCGAATTATTAGTGATACGACACAACACTGATGACTCGATGATCTAAAGTTTGGCCAGACTGAAGGCCCTTCAAGCAGCGCCCGAAGGAAAAGACAGAAAAAATGACCCCTGTGCAGCCACAAGCCGTAATAGACTACTCCCTGCCACAGCAATTAAAAAGGCTCTTCAAAAAGGCAACAAACAATGGTTTGGTTTAAGTTTTAAAGAGCAGGAAACACTGCAAAATTAATTTTGCTGGATATTACTGGACTCCTGAAAGGTTAAAATGAAAAAAAATGTAAAACATTGTCCAAACAATTCTTCTAGCATTATTAATTAAAGTCTGTGCAACACTATGTGACTAATGTTCTCTGGCAAAATTAAAGTCAGCTACAAAAATTTGGAGATCTGATTACAGCAATTATAAATTCTACATACAATTCATCCTGCCCATTAGCGCACTAACCCTGAAGCATTTTCTTATTAAAGTCTGTTACATTCCTCCTTTTAAGAGGAATTATTGCGCATAATTTCATGTTCTTTTCACGTTAAATAAATCATAACGCTCTCGTAAAAAGAAAGAAAAATAACCTTGTAATCAAGTGGGGCTTAAATCTTGCCGAGAGATCCTTGCTGAAACATGTGGAGATAAATGTTAATACCAACAGGCACTGACTTATCAGTTAGTAACGACTCCTGCCTCAGCCTTAGAAGGCTGGGATTACATGGAGTTTAGGCCATCCCAGAGCACAAGCAGAGCCCAGCTCAAGCAAGCATTTAGAGGAATGGAGCTCACCACCTTTTATAGCAGCATCTTTGGGTTTTCTGCTCTGCAGTGCATGGGGCTGACTTGATATCTTGCCTAGAACAGCTAGAAAAAAACAAAACAAAGCACAACCCTAACATGACATTGCCATTGAGATATAAATAGCTTCTTATTTGTCTGCTTCAGAGGAATAATTTTAGCCAAGAAAAGGTCAAATGGCTTTGCCACAGGGGTAAAGAGCACAATTTTTTTTTTAATTTAATATCATTCCCCTCTTTCCACAGCCTTTTTCTTTTTTGGAAGATGGGAGACTCCAGGTGCCAGTCACATAGGAGGGAGAGGAATACAGAATAAAAAGGAAGCAATAAACAGCTCGACTGCAAAAGCACAAACCAGACAATTTCATGGTTTCTAAAGGCTCAGGAAGAACCAGTATTTACCTAACATCTCACTGACCTGATCTCTGCTTGGAATCCTGCAAGCTCCACAGGCAAACCCCATCTATTCTGATGGTGCAAAAATAGGTTATAACACACAGATGTTACAACTAAGGAATCTTTTTTTTTTTCCTGTATCCCACTCAGTTTATGGAATTGACACTTTCAGTTATTAAGCATTAATAAATGTGACCTTTACCTATGCGTAACCATCAAATCCACTTTGATCCACTTTTAAAATAAAATAGAAAAAAAAAATAAAACAGAGTTTTAAGTCTTCAAACTGGTTACATGGCAYGAAGCTGCTGTTACCAACCCTTGGTTAAGGGCTGCTCAAATATTCTTGCATATTTATTAAAGCTGCTATCTACTATTCTTCCTATGCTACCAAAAAAAGAATGTAATTAGGCAATAAGTCAGCTCCATTACAGGTGATAAGTCAGCTCTGTTACTGAATTTACATGCAAGACAGGCCAGTCTGTTCGTGGTTGAACTAGAGAAGCGCATGCAGCTGGGAAGAGAAMTTTCTACAAATTATTACACGAAGGTGACCCAAAGCCCCATTTATTGCTAGCTCTTACTGCTTGCTTTCATTGCTTGAAGCACCCTGGTAGTCTATGCAYGTGGCAATAGTCAGTATTAATGGAAACCAGCAAACAAGGTCACACACGTGTCAAACAGTCGCTTTGCACAAATCCAAAAATAMTCGTAGGGTCTGTTTGCTAGAATTGCATGGCCCTCTCCTTCTGTCATCCGTGCTGTGTGTGTTGCTGGGTGCTGCCTGCACCTCCAGCCCACTGCACACTGGTGGAATACATCCTATTTAGGGGAAAAAAGGGTGAGTTGAGCTCCCTATGAACCAGTCAGAAAGAGAGAGAGCTGCTGCAAATGTCCCTGTCTTCTGCAGACCACAGGGGATCGTACACGGCTGCCAAAGCAGCCTCTCTTTCCTTGGAAATATGACACATTGAAAAATAATTATGTACCATTAAATTATTGCATGCATGCAGGATGAACAAGATAAACTGGGCATATCCCTGGGACTGGAATAATGCGGCTATTTTAGTAAACATACTTATGCAGTGACTTTGAGTCCTCAGGCTAAACGTAACATAGTGCAAAAGGACACAAGAAAAAATGTGCAGCAGGTCCTTTCTACTAGTTACCCTTCTCAGCCTAAATAGGAAACCCTGAAATGCAGCAACAAAGACTAGAAAATTTATGTAACAGTCGATAACCATCTGTCCAAGCAGGCTGAAAGGCTCCAGCTATTTTTCCAAGCTCGGAWCAAAGCATCTCTCCTCTGCAGCCCCGTGTCGTGACTGGCAGAGGGGTTTTGCTTTCTGCACTGCTAGGCCAAGGTGGGGTCAGTCTCGAGGAGCGGAGAGTGCGAGGTGACACCCTGGAGCACGGGGAACACGAACAGGCAGCGGCGACGAACGCGCTCGATGCCAGAAGGGCTCGTGCRGAAGCGTCAGCGACCGAAGAAGCAGCGGGGGAAAAAGGTGTCGAGCAGAGCCTGCACCTCCGGGCACTGTGAGCTCGAGACAAAGGTCTTCCATCCCCACGAAAGGGCTTAATCAAAGAAAAAAATTATGATTTAATCACACACAAAACCTGTGTTCTCTTTTGATGTCTGAAAATCCTGAACAGATGAACCTTAGCTAAAAAAACAGGACTGAAGATTTGAAAAAGGTCTGAAGTTCAGCATCCACACAGTAACATAAACCTTGGTGCTGAAGCTCTAGGGAAAAAGGAAACCAAAAAAAAACGAGGAAATGCAATGGCTGTAACACTGGTTTTGCTAAGTGAACCATATTAAAGATCAGCTTTTTCTAATTGTCATCTGGAATTTTGTTTTTGATTTTAAATGTATAAGAGGGAAGAAAAGCAACAAAAGATTTTCTGTAAYGTCCTCAGGATTTTTATAAGAAAAGAACACAGACAACGGCCAATTATGATAACCCAGAAATAACTAAAGAAAATGAGTTTTTTAAAATGCCCCATCAGAATGCATTAGCAGTTAGAATCTCCTCAAGTTCCCATTAGTCTGTCAAAATAAGAAATAATCTCATAGCAGCTCCGATGAAAACTCTTAAAAGATTGTCACATTGATTGAATTTCAAAGTATACACTTACAAATTCGTAGTCTCCATCCTGTGGTACCTTCCAATCAGATGAATTTTTTGTCTGGCCAGACACATTCTTCCCAAAGCTATTGATTTGATTCTCCTTCTCCTTCTGCTCAAAATATTCAAGGAATGACGGTTTGGCTGGCTGCATCGTTTCGTCCCTCCCTGGAAATATTATATATAAAAAAAAACCAGTCATTGTTGAAAAATGCATTTTTGATTTTACTGCTTTACATCATGCCCAACAGGGACTTCATCTTTTTAGCACACTAAATCACGTAGTACTGCTAAAGGAGTATTTTTGCAGCAGTTTTTTGCATACAAAACTACTTTTGCCTGCAAAGTGAGGAGGGTGGGAAGGGAAGCCTGAAGTTGACCACACCGATCACTGCAATTCCAGAGACCTTGCCCTGCAATCAGTGCATGGAAGCCTCCAGGTGACAAAGCTTCGTGCCCTGAATGCTGCGAGCGGCCGCGCTGCTCGAGGAGTCCTTCCTTCCCACCAGTGGGGCTGCAGGCTTTACAAAATATGCACATTTCCAAAACTAAACAGCTTCATACACTGCTGCTGGAAACGTAGGCTTGGGTCGATGCAGAAAGCCTAATTCCCAGAAAGTGGCTGAGGGGAGGCTGTTTCCATGAGGATATCAGCGCTCACCAGGAGGGAAATSCCACACAAGAGATGTCCTGGTATCAGCATAAAGGGGCACTGACCAAAGAGCCAAACCTGCACCTGATTCTGGCCCAGGGCAATGAGTTCACCCTCAAGTTCTACACAGTTGAAGCAGATCTTAACCGTCAGAGCTGGCAAAAGCTCAAAGCAGCTCATAAAAACTTACAGATGTTCAGCAGAGCCTTCTTCTTGCAAGAGTATTAGTTACTCTGGAAACCCATTAAGACTTAAACACAGAATTATACTATTACACAGATAATATTCTTAAGCATAAAACCACCAACTCAGTGCTCCAGAATTGGCACATTCTCTCCCCTCATCTGACAGCGTTTGAATTCTCAGCTCAGCTTTGAGGTGCTCAAAAATTTATTTGTCTACAGACATGTTAAAGAGAGCGATATTTTTGCAAAGTCTGAGATATCTTGACAGGATACTCGGCTTCTGATACTGGGGGAAGTGTGGTTTACACGGCCTGAAATGTCAAGAACAATCTTGAAAACAGCTCTGTATCATCCTGCCTTCCCAGGGCTAGCTACAAGCTCCAGCATGAACTCAAGTGCTTACACTTTGCACCATGACAACAGCAAGAGCAAAGACAAATTATTCTACCTCTGGCAGTAGTTCCCTTAAAAAAAAAATAAATAAAAAAGTCATTGCACAGAATTAGATCAAGAAAGACATCTTCAGACAACTGCAGGAAGGTCAGTGAGGAAACGTGGCTGCGAAGCGGAGAACAGATTTGCTACTGGGAATAATTACTGCAATACAATAGCAATCCAATTACTGCTAAGTGATAAAACATTTATTTAGGATAAAGTAAATACACCACTTGCATCCTGTTGCAGTGCAAGGAGCTACGTTTTCAACGTCATGGTCAACAAGGACAGSGTTTAAGGGCAAATTTTGTAAAAAGAGATGAAATTCATATCCACGAACGAACCTACACTGCTTATTGTGAGCTGGCCTCGGAGAAAAGAAAAATAAATCTTTGCATCTGAAGGCAGCCTGCACTGCATGATTTGAAAATAATTGTTTGCCCAGGAGCATTTAGAAGCGTTTCACTCGGGTGACACTGGATTTCTYGTTTTCTTTAAGACACCCACTCCTACCAGAGACCAATTGAGAAGATTCCTTAGAGCAATAGCCCTGCCTGTCCACAGCTCCTGTTGTTCCAGTGACTGCAGTTGTTTGTAACCAGTCACCTGGATGAGACAGCCTGTTGTGGCTTCACAGCATCAGAAAAAGGGACACATTCAAAAATCAGCTTTATTGAATCGCCTTGTGCTTCCACAAAGAAGTGAAATGGAAACAGGGCAAAAGGGAAGCGAATGAAGCCCTGGTGCTCCTAACGGGGAGGCTGCAGTTGGGATACAGGGCCTGACTTTGGCCCCATGACCAGGCGAGGCCGAGGAGTTGGAGCGGATGCAGGAAAAGGCTGCTCGGATATTGGTGGGGCTGGAGTGCAGGCCGGGAGGGGACGGAGCAGCCGGGCCCAGCGGAAGGAGGGCAGGAGAAGGGGACAACTTGCAGCACCCGACTGACCGCGCGGGACGGGGCTTTCACAACCAAGACCGTTTCGCAATGGAAGAGGGGCCTAGAGCAGCTGCATGATGCCCTCGAGATCCAGCTTCAAACTCGGCCTGCCTCGCTCAGGGCGCTGGATTTGGCGGCCTCCGGAGGCCCCTTCCAGCCTGGAGTGCCCTGGGACTCGCACACTGGCTCAGACACCGCTCACCTTCACGTCACTGCTATGGCCAGGTCAACTGTCACCAATTGTAGCACGTTCTTGCAGGTCAACGTCATAACGTCAACATCCTTACCCAATAACTCCCCCAAATTGATTAAAATACAGATTCACCACCTGACAAAGCAGGAAAGAAAAAAAGATGGTCTAAAATAAGAACCATCCAGAAGGTCACTGCAGGGTGACTGAAATTTTAACTGCTGTTGTGATCTCCCTCTAGGTGCATATACAACAAGACYGATGGAAACACTCTGCAGACATTCCACCAGCTCAGGTAGCATCATCCCAACAGGACYGGAGCCCTTTTTGCCAATCCCGGTCCTTGCAGCAGTGCCGGCTTCCCAAAGATGCTCTGCTGTTAATTCAACCCAAGGATCCCGCTGCTGCACCTAAGATTTTGATAATGGGCAGCTGATGACCAAGATTGACCATTGCTATCCTCAGCATCGGATGCTGCTGAAAGATGACACTGCACTAAACATGCCCGTGCCAAAAGAGCATTCAGCTCCCTGGGCTGAGAGGATTCGACTAAAATCTGAATCTTTGACAGAATGTGAGATCACAACTGCAGCAGCGAAGAGCCTTTTATGAGAAGGTCACCCTGTGGGGACAGGGATGGCTTCTCCATGTGGTTATTTTGGAACCCAAAGAGCTGCCCATAGGGATGGGTCGCGAGAGCTCCCTGGAGCCATTAATGGCTACCGTTTAAATACGCAGTCATCTTTTTAAGAGCTGTATTAATTACACAAATGGAAGAGCTCAGCTCGGCTGGAGCTGGTCCAGGCTGCAGAGCCACAGAGCCCGGCTGCCTGAGGTCCCTCCACCGGGCCTGGCTTCTGCTGAAGAGCAGAAGCCCTTTGCAAAAAGGGCTCCTATAAATCCTTGTTTAGAAAAGCCTGTGAAAAACAACAGTGTTGTGCAAGGCAGGCATGTCCAAGGGTGGAGAATATTATAAAACATCAGCAATAAACTTCCCCTTCTCCCGCTTTTTAACAGGAGTACCAAGCTAATTTAATTAGTGATTTCAGTGCTCACTGCGGTCCAGCTGCATGTGGTACCATGCCAGATGGGACAGTCCTCACCTCAAAGAGCCTGGACACCCACCAGCCTTCCAGATACAGGCAGGGCACTGCAGGGAGCCAACACCAGCCCTCGGCATCATTAATCCTTTCTGGTGCTAAGCGACAGCAGGGACAAGAGCTAAGGAGGGCACCAAGGTGAAAATACTGGCGTGATTTTGCAGAGTTTCTTTTGCAGGAGGGCCATTTCTCCAGATATGCCACCTGTYTGGTTAACGAGGGAATGGAAGAGGTTGGTCTTAGACAACTGCAAAAGCCGGGCCACTTATACCAAGGAGAAGAGCTAGGAAAACAGGACTTTGCAGCATTGCACGGAAGTAGCAGAGAAAGAGCATCAGAATTGTCAGGTAAACAAGCAATGCACTTGGTTTTTGCAGCAGTGTCAGGGAAATCAGATCTCTGTATAACCCAGKCCCAGGCAGCAGAGCAGCCCTTTTGTCCAAGCTGCCAAGCTGGTTCTCAAAAAGTGAAGATTTTCAGCAGCTCCCCAGCTTCAAAGGGAACTTTCCAAGGGGAAGTGGGATTTACAGTATCCTTCTGCCTACGTGCACAAGATTGCCAAGCAATGAACCGCGGATTTCAGCTTTCTCCAAATTTATTCTTCTCTACTCAGTCTTGAYAGCAACCGAAAAAGCCTTGTTTTGTTATGCCTTCCTTTTCAAAGCAACTGCTACCACACATCTAGGGTGAATTCTGGAGTCACAGAGCTTGTCATGAGCGATATCCATAACCTCAGGAGCACATTTTGTGTGTTCTTTATTCAAGACAGTTAAGTTAATCCAGTGTTACTTAAAAGACCTGCTCCTGAAGCCATGCAAAGAGCTTTCCTCCCTTCTCTCCAAACAACCTGGAGTTAGAGCCGTGGCTGGGAACAACCAGGACAACCTCCTGGCAAACGTATTTTGAGCAATCTTAGCAAGCTTCCCTCTGCCTGCTCTTGTTTGAGTTATATAACTTCAAGGCTTAAGCTTCTCGGGGATTTGGGATGCACAGAGCCGTGTCTGATGATGATGTGCAAGCAACACGTCATTAATATTAAAATTTCAGACAGAACTGTAGTTTTCTTTGCTCCGGGCTACTTCTCAGAGAACAAATGAACTTTAGCAGCTGGACAATGTAATTTGTACAGTATTAACAGGACTGAGACATTTCATGCTGCAGAAGAGAGATGCCAACTTATTCAAGCAGAGCAAACGTGCTCCATCATTAATGAATCCATCCCATGGCAGCATAAGCTGAAATTTCCCCTCATTAATTGCAACCTACACAACATTTCATGCCCATTGAGCCTTATGAGGACAAGTCTTTCCATGATCATGGCCCATCCCAAACTAAATCAAAGTAGAACTTGACTGATAGGCCCTACTGTTCAGAGGGAGCTCCTACATTTTCAGCAGCAACTCTGGCTATTTTATCTCATCTCTCACAACTAACATAAAGTACCAGAGTCATTTAAAGCATCAACACTTACCCAAAGCTGGGGATATAAAACAGAGGATTCCTTCCTAAGCAGGAGAAAGCTGTGACAGTAACGAAAGCCACCTGAAGACCAGGTGACCTGCCCTTTAGACATGTTTCTTCTATGTAAGAACTCAGAAAAGATAATAAAGACACAGAAGTTTTCTCCCTCCACCACAGATCTGCAACAGGTCCTGATGTTTTTCAGCTCATTTGCTTTATTTACTAATTTACTTTAACAACAACACAAAGCGAGCTAAGCAGAGAGGTGTGAAGGGGCACCAAGAAATAAGGGAATGACATTTCCTCCCCTGCATCACCTAGACCAAGCTCTGATCAGTCTTCATGAGCAACAACCTCAGTGACAGGGCTGCAACCGGCAGGGCCAGCACCCTGTGGGCAACAGCCGAGGCTCCCCAACCTGCATGGAGCCAGGTAAGGATCTCCAARCACCTTCTCCTGCAACCAAAGGGGCCAGAAGGTAACATGGCAAAGTGCATTGAGGCTTGAAAACCTACCAGAAAAGTAATTTGTTTCTGTTTAGAAACCAAGAAATTTAACAAATTTTAGAAACTAAGACATTTAAGATTTGAGAGAGGGATTCTTTTCACTCCTAAGGGAAGCTTTCTCCACGTTTTATTGGGATCCAGGAGGAAGCAAGTTCATTCTTGGAAGAGACAGCAGGTCACAGTTTGTCTGCACATGGGATTTGCAGTATTTGGCGACAGGAATGCACCCAMTAAAAGTGAAGACCTCCCTGAACACGTTTATCTTCTCAACACCTCAAGGGCTGCAGCGTAATATTCCTCACAGCTACAGAAGAATTTAATCAATGCAAGGGTTTCTACAGCCAGACTGTTATTTAAATGCCTAACACTTGCAGTTTTACGGTCTAATTATGCTAAATTGACCAATTTATTTCAAGCACAAAGCTGCACCGTTAAACATTTTCATCACTAATAGTGGGGTAGTAGAGGGATATAGAGTGTAGCTGCTATCAAGAGTTATCATCTAAGACAAAGACACAGCCACCATTTTTGACAAATACGTGACAAATGCTGACAAAATGTAGAGCTATTTTCTATAGTATTTTATGTGTAGCTGTGCATTATCCAACAACAAAACACCTTTTTAAAAGGACACAACTTTTACCGGCCCGGACATGCTAAAATCTAACCCAACACCAAAACCACGCTGAAACTGTCAGAAAATCCCATTTAATAATTAACAAACTATTAAGGATTTCCACCTGCACACTGCATCACTATTATATCAGGATCTGGTATCTCTCTGCACTAGATATTCTGCAGAAGAACATGTGCCACATTGACAGAAACTCTCATTTTTCTCCCCTTTTCACATCCCTCATTCATTGGAAACGAAGAAAGAGGGGACCCAACCTGCATCATTCACCCAGTCTACATTCTCCAAAATTGTTTCATTTGGTGCCCAAAGAAAYAAGCAGCACTGCAACACAGAAAACGGGTCAGATTCAAGCACTAGAAAGAGTAGATCCTATTTTACTTGGATTTGATCATATTTCAGTCCAATGAAAGCAAGATATTTATCTGCTATAAAATTATGTTCCATTCTTTAAATCTGAGACAAACTCGTGTCAAGTTTCCACTACCTAAATCCTTACAGTGAGTAATAAAAGTTGGGAAAGCAGAGTAAGACCAAAAGGCTGCAGGGTTTACCRGCACTACAGAGTAATTTTAAGAAAAAAAAAGTAGGAATTCAGACATATTCAGAGTTCGAACATTATTCCAGCTCCTGAGTACAATGAAAATGTTGGTTATTACAAATAATTGTTCTTCTCTAGTCCTCCAGCTACTTCTGAAGTTTTTTCTGGAATAGCTAAATAACTGAATAAACTGAAATCCAGGTGTTGTTGGTTAATGATTGATGTATAAGGGGGTCATTATGCAACTTAGTATCTGTAGTTTGAGCCACTCAGTTGAGCCCTTTCAAAATGCATAGCCCTAYGCCATGGGGTATTTTTAAATGCTGCCTGTATATTTATATTGGGGTCCAGGTAAACCCAAAAAACACACAAGCAAATGAAAGAATTTAAGCCAACGGCTCAACTGACTGCAAGGCTAACAGAGCTTCCCCTACCGTGTAAAATACTGGAATTAAAGAAAACTTGTATTCTAGCCTGAAAAGTCATGGGTTGATTTATGCAAGAGTCACCTTTAGGGAGTCCTATATTCCACTTCAGATGGAATATAAACTTTCAGGGGTAATGGGAAAAGCTGTTGAGTAAAGATATGTGACAGCCCTGTCTAAAACATCACATTTCAGGGTCCCATAAGCACTTGTGGTGACTTTTTTCTTTTTATAATTAGAAGGAAGGGCTAGATCATCAGCTAAAAGCTTGCAGTTCAACAGCCCCACAACGCTAAATTCCCCTCGTAATGCCACCCAAGAAAAAGGGGAACTTCTTTATTGACTTAAAGGAGGTTTTGTTGYGAGTCATAACACAAATTGCCAAGTGGACTACAGACTCTGAAAATATGAATCAATGAAGCCTCCTCAAATGCAGTGGCTTCTAAGTAGTTTTATCATTGTTATACTTGTTCCAGTGGGTTCTGCAGCAGGTTTATGGGCTTTACAGTGAAAACAATTTAACTCTTATGATAATATGAATATGCAAATAGGCCAAGAAACAGAATTACAAGCAGCTCGCAGGAAGGGTATTTGCAAGCTGCTAGAGGACAGCACGTGGTCATTCCTCCAGAAGCAAATGCAGAACCACTGCATGCAAGAGCAAGGACTGCAGGATTATTTCACCCCTGGGTAAAAAGGGGAATGAGTGGTAAGAAAAAGTTATTTTTTCCATCTCATACGGTYATTTTCATTAACACCAAGCTTCTTGGAATCAAGCTACAAGATAAAATGCAGCGCAGCTGGCAGCCCAGAGTGCATTTRGACTTCACTAAATCTTGCTAATCCTGTGCTGAACTTGTCCACACGAGGCGGTACCAGGGCTGGACATGATTAGCAGCAGGWTCCCAAAATGCTTCCCCCTCGGATGCAGGGCTGCTCGGGCTTGCCTTGGCCTCCACTACCATTACATAGCAGCAGTGGAAGAACACAAAATTTTTAAGAAATCTGAATTCCAGGGGGTTTTTGTTCAGTTTTGCTCTGAATAAGAAACTCTCCCAAGCCGCACAGATGTGGATCTCTTAGAGCTTGTTGTGGGGCTCCCTCTTGAGGTCAAAAGCTACAGTATAGTTAAAAAATTGCAAAACTCACAACCAACTCTACTCGAAATGAGTTGTGCTCATCTTCACGAAAAGCAGACTAACAGTGTCCTTAAAAACTGAGATGGGCAAGTTCTCTCCTTGCTGGAGTTCCTGTGTCCCACAAAGAGGTGACATTGAAGCGTGAACCCAACTGCATTGCCTTTCTTGCCACACTTTGCTGCACAGGCTGATGCCTTCGTTTTTCAAAAGTGCAGAATAAGTGGCTGCCAAAGCTTGCAAAATTCTTTCAACTGGCACGAGTAAAATTTCACGCTCTCCATCCTCTGTTACGGGGCAATACTTTTGCACTAACTGTAGAGGGCTCCTGCATTGAAAGAGCTTTCAACACAGGAAGATATTTCCCGAGAAAAGGACATTTCCAAACTCTGAAACAGAGGTTTTCCTTCTCTCTCAAGAGCCAGAGCTCTAAAATCAGATCACCAAGGGAGACTCTGGAAGCGCACAAAGCTGAAAGAACAAGTCTTGCCTATTAGGGTCTTGGTTCAGTGCTGCCAAGCCTCACTCAGCATTTTCCTTCACCCTCGAACAAACAGCCACACTGGCCAGCTGAGGTGTCCACCTCCACCTCAACACCGCTGAGATCCCCAACTCTGCAGCAATGGATTTCTCTAGAAATCCCTTTTTTTGCCCCCCTTCTAGTCATGGTGTTCCAGGGAGGCTCTCCTTGCCATCTTCTTAACCAAATGAACATTTTCAACTGCTTTCCAAGTCAAACTGTGAGATGTTCCAAAGACCACCAGGGATCAAAAGTGCATACACAGTTGGAAACCTGACTTATTATACTGACACCATAGTCTTGGTAAGCTTTTCTTTTTAGCAAGCTTTTCTGTTTTAGGACAGAACAGATTTCTACTGCAGTATCTCAGAACTGGGATGTGCAAAACCAAAACAAAATAAAAAACAACAAAAAAAAGAGCTTAAGAAAGAATTGTACCAAAAAAGGTATCTCCTCTCTACTGCTAAGGGGTATTTGCCTAAAAGTTCTCAGTTCTTACTACAAAAAAAAAAAAAACCACCACAATAAGTTATAAAAATTATCAAGGCTGGTTGTGACAGGTGATAGGATAGAGCAACGTGTTATCAGCAGGAGCTAGACTACAGCTGCAGTAAAATTCAGGCTATCCTGAAGAACTTGAGAGTCACAATTTTCAGCATGCAATTCATTATTAATTAGACAGCTTTAGTTATCCATCTCCCTTTAAGTGAATCCTTTTGCTCTACAGCTTTTAGAGCTTTTAGCCTTGCCTCCAATGTACAACACACCTGCTAGTGATGTGAGCCCCCCAAGCAATTTTGTGAAAGATGTTTTCTTACTTTTCATGGTCCCTTCTTCCTCCTCCTCTTCTGTGTTTATCACCATTGTCCCCAGCTGGGATTCCAAGGTGCCGTCGTGCTCTATCATGGTGTTGGCCCCACCACCCAACGTACTCACAGCTCTCATGGTACTGGTTTCATCACTGCTTGCCCTCACCATGGTGCCTGAATCAGTTTCATCTTCTTCCTGTACAAAGATGCCACAAATACATTTTTGTTGATGGTGGAAGGCCTAAGAAGAGGGGTTGTGTTCAAGGATGCCAGCGAGTTTTACAAATTCAAATGGTTTTACAAATATACATGGAAGCCAACAAGATGAAACATAGTCCTCTCCCTGTCATCTCCAAGCAGGTAAGCAAAGGTCTCCACACTTTTCTGCCAGCATGATAGGAATACAGACATAAAACCCACCAGAAGCTTCTCAACACAACTGAGATCTCATTCCTGATCTGGTAACTTGTCCTTAAGAGCAGATTACAGTATTTGCTCAGTCATTAGCATTTCTATTCAGACTAGTTACAACAGTAGACCTAAAAATGATCCCATTCACTGAGGAGCCATTAGAGAAAGTCATTAAGCAGCAGAAACTCTGAGTCTGTACTGCATAGATGCATGACAGATAAAACTATTAGCCTAGTTTTTGAAGACTGCTTTTAAGATTTAGGTAGTCTTACTTGCTTTACTTCAGAAGCAATGAAGCAAAAATGAACTGAATTTGCTTATCTTTAAAGAGAAATTAAATAAATGAACATATTCCCTTTTTTTTTTTTTTAAAGATCAAAATCATTTCTTTCTTACCCTTCTGTAATATTAATACTCAGGAACCAAATGGATGTTTGAGTTAATGGTGGCAAGGCTCAAGGGATTAACAGTCTGGATGAAGACACCAGCTGGGAGGAAAGGTTCTCCAAAGACAGCTATACTTTCCTCAGAAAGTATCTATCCTGCCTAGGATTTCAAAAAGAGGCCGAAATTTCTACAATCTATTTATTTATTGGAAATATGTATCTGGTGCCTAATCACAACAATGATCCCTTCCTAAATTTAGAACAGTTACTGAATTTAGCAAAACGTGTTTCTATGCATCTCATGGAAGAGCTAAATATTTAAGAGATCAAGTTTTGTTGCAAGTACAAAGTCCCCAGTTCCTTAATCAGTGTGTGACCATAGGCCCATTCATTGGAATTCGTATTAATGGGAAAACCCAGGTCTGCCACATCAAACTATAACACTCCATCTGCTATCAGCAGGAGGAAGTCCATCTTTGAACACTCAGGTGCTCCCTGCATTTGCTTTGTTCCATCCAGGATATCTATGTAACTCACCAATCTCTTACACCTTAAAACCACTAGCAGGAAGGAAAACCACATAGGATGTTAATGGAGAAATTAATGGAGAAAATGTATAATTTATGTGGAGATGGATACGCGAGAAAAAAGTAATATTTATTTTTTAATCTACACATCATTCAAGAAAGAATGATAGCAGAAATGCCACAGCAGTTGGAAAGTGCTCGTGACTATTTTTCTGCTAGCAGATATGGAGTAAAGAAGCTTCAGGAAAAGCACACAAACTAATGGAGACCACTCAACCCCACTACAGTGACACCATCTCTCAGGAACGTGACCACAGCTCAGTCAGAAATGAAGGACAGGAGACAGGAATAACCCGTCGGAGTCAACATCACCGCAACACGACCAGTACAATTACTTCCACACCGAATAAATAGGCAGTTTAGATGAATGATGTATTCAGCACGGCTCTGGTTTTTACTGTGCAACATGCTGTTCAGATCTAACAATCTGAGGAGGACTGTGCCACACAATGCTTTTTATTGCCCATTTCATTTATTCGGGTCAAAATGGGCTCATATTAAACAGCTTGCAGCATGCTTTCCATGTTCACATGCTCTAACCACTCAAACAAAGAGCCCAGGACTTAAATGCCCAGCAATCCCCTGCACACTTCACATGCCCTCACCTCCGYTCTCTGTTGCTTGCTCCTGTGTAGTGGAAAGTTTCTATAAGGGGAGTTCTAAAGCACAACAACAGTAAAACAACACATCATACTCTGTGTAATGCAGAAATTCTGTTATATTAGGAGAGCAGTCTAAGACCTGAATCCTCAATAAAAAAATCATTACTGTATGAAGAATATAATGCAATTGGGAAAATGAATTAACAGCCGTTTTCATGTGTAATTATGCAGTTCCATTCAGTTACAGGTCTTTAGCTATACTATGAGCTAAAATAATAAGCTAGTAAGCCATTCAAGCTGTCTCACCTGAATAGAAAAATGAAGCAGGGATCAAGCGCTGGGTTAAGCGATCATAAAGCAGAAAACTCAAGAGAAGTCAAATCCAAGAGGAATTATTGCAAAGAACAATGAAACAACAAAACAAAAAATAAGCTAAGTCATATGAACGGAACAGGAGTTGGCACTTTGGGCAAGAGCTCAAGTCTGTTTTGGAATGGCAGGCAGAAGACATTCCCTTCTGTAGATATCTGCATATACACACAAAGCTTTTGGTGGCACTTTTGCATTTTTTCTGTAAATCCTCACCGAGTTTTCGTCATCATCTTGATCTAGCTCACGCTGTTGTGCTTCCTGCCGTTTCAGCTTGATATCCATGGCTTCGTTAATCAAATCTCGCAGGATTGACACCCCTTTGGCACTTTTAACAAATGGGTGCTGTGAAGTACATGAAAAACACATCAACACTGCATCTGAACCAAGAGGTAACAGTAAAACATGGTTACTATGGCCTACCACCAATCAAAATACTCAACACCAAATACATTATTTAAAAAAAAAAAAAAAAAAGGAAATTCAACCCTTTCCTGCTGTATTGGGGATAATCCCCTCCCTCAACAAAATAATCCTCCAAAGGTATGACTGCTGTGACACCCTGGGTTTACTCCCCTCCTACAAACTCTCTTTCCGTAACAGTTCAGCTGTATAGAACCAGTTAYCCAGATTCTCACCATGCCCTGCACTCCTCTAATCAATACTTTCATTTGCCTGCCCCTTTTTTGCGTTTTAGGAGACACTCTCTTAAGAGCACAATAGAAACTCAAATGCTCCCCTTAGAAATGCTCCTCTTAGAAAAAGGCAGGTTGTCCTCTGCTTTCTGTGGGTGCAACTACTACTATATTAGAGATTACAGGCAAACTGAGATGTTTGTGGTATAGCAATAACACCAAAGATGTTCCTCTCTCAAGTATGACTTGTGGCTCAAGCAGGAACAGTTTATGTTGGGACAGATACGGTGCTTCCCGCTTCTGCCTTTCACTCGACTCAGAAATGCCTTCCCTCACTACAGACAACACAGCTGTCTACTGTCTGCTACGACATCAAGGAGTAACTTGCAATTGCTTGAAGAACTGCAGGAGTGGAAACTTCCAAAGGAGTGACAGCTGGGAGAAGGGAACCCAAGAGTCACTACAAGACGTTGACTCAGAAATAGCATAAAGCATTAGCTACACTTCTCAAATACAAAGTGATGATGAGAATTTTAACACACAAAGAAACAATCCCCTAAAGACAGACATAGGAAGCTGGAGCCCTGCCTTGTTCATAGAGAAGAACTGAAAAGCTGAAGTTGAGTGCAAGGTTTTTCAGTTGGGGATAATAATGAAGGGCTGACCTGCAGAAGCTGCGTGGCAGTGGCACGTTGCTCAGGGCTCTTAACAAGACACTGTTTGACGAAGTCTGTGAAATTGTCTGACCAGAGCTCCGGCTTCCGAAACGTCGGAGGAGGATTGGTGGGAATCATGAAAATTGCCTGCGAACAGAAGAGTGTTTCAGTTTTCCAAATGAGGTTTAGAACCTCCTCATAATACAACATGAACATGCATAAATATACACGAGTACTAAGCAATGATACACATTTTAAGACAGGTGCTTCCTAAGAGCTTGCTTTTCATTATAAATTTGCTCAGGAGGATCAAGTAGCAAAAAAATCAGACTTTTCCCACTAGGTGCTCAAGTCATTATATGTCCAGAGAGGAATGAACTTGCTATTTTTAAGGCTTAGAATTTGGGTTTTTCTGCAAAGGAAATAGAATCACTTCAGAAAAAATCACTTTAGGAAATATACCGATAAAAACATGTCTGTTCATGTCCAACATTGTGACATTCAACTATATCTTGACAGATCACTATACACATCCTTTTTCTCCACATTTAGTCCACAGTACAAAGAATTGACAGATGAGAAATCATTTTCTCTAACATACCAAGCAGCCAGCTATAAGAACAAATAACTCCCAGCCAGGAACACATTTTAGAAGGCCACAGTTCTCACCCTCATAGGATGGATATCWGCATACGGTGGTTTCCCTTCAGCCATTTCTATTGCAGTGATTCCCAGGGACCAGATGTCTGCAACACAATTGTATCCAATTTCTTGGATCACTTCTGGAGCCATCCAGAATGGGGTCCCTATAACTGTGTTCCGTTTTGCCATGGTATCCTGAAAAATAAAGAGTAGGGTAAAGAGCCACACAACAGCTATTTTATTCCTGTACTGGAAACAAGCATTCATTAATGAATTATTGCTACTAATTATCTCTTACTTGCACTGCATTACTTATATACATTATTAGATGCAGCAAGAAGGCTACAAAGAGCTTTTGAATCATGCTTACTGAAGTTTCAAATATCCTGGAGAAATCAGCAAGTGCTACTGCAAACAATTGTCCAGGGGTGGGTGCTTTCAAAGAGGAAGCCCTACTGCTCTAATCTGCAGCTGTTACAACATTTCATTACATTGATATAAAATGCTAAAGACAAATTGGTCTGAACTGTACAAAGTTTGTTCAATTATGCACTAGAAGCATAATGAGGTTAACCTTCAGGTGAACCTTGTATGCARGTTAAAAACAGGAACCATAATGTAGATAACCAAAAATCATGTTTTTACTCACTGTAAGTTGTCCTGCCACTCCAAAATCYGCAAGCTTAGCATGTCCCTCTGTATTTAGCAATATATTTCCAGCTTTGATATCCCTGTGTATTTTCCTCATAAAATGCAGGTACTCCAGTCCTTTGAGTGTTGACTGCACTATGGTAGCAATTTCATCTTCCGTGAGCTAAAGAAAAGAAGAGTTCCAGCCAAGCTATCAGCTGCTGAGATCTAATGCTATCATGTAATAGTCTGTGCATCTCTGAGATTCACTAATTGCCATCTAATTACCCTCACTAAAGGCTGCCATAATGACTAATGGGAAATTAGATATATTTTCAGTTAACAGCTTAGAGCATTAAGTAGTAGAATCAGACTGCGACCAGTCTGTATACAGAGGCACGCTGTATTTCACATGCCACAACCCTTTCACAGCCACCTATTCTTATTCTGCAATAGCCAAGCTCAGGCGGAGTAGAATCTGCTACTCAGAATCACTGTTTCCCAGAGAGCTAACAGCTCATCTTCTGCAAAATCAGCTCAACTGATTAAATTGATCAAATGTTGTTATTTAAYTAACATAACTGGCTTCCTCATTTTTAGGGGAACAAATGACCTGCACCTCATATTGCTCAGCACTAGCACTGGCTGTAATGAAAAGGAGAGTTATGGCCTGAAAACCAATGCACAAACTATTCTACTTCTTAAAGCTGCTGCACACCCATATTCCCCACTTACAGCACTCAAAGGAAAGAGGACGTACAGTTTTATTTCGTAATCGAATAATATCAGACACGGATCCAGCGCCGCAGTATTCCATGACTATCCATAGGTCTGTGTTCTTAAAATAGCTGCCATAATATTTCACCACATGAGGACTACGAATAGAAGAAAGCAGAGAGTCAAATACCATTCACTGATATTTCTGAATAAGCACATGCAAAATCCCAGAGAATATATTTTAGAAATTCAAAGTGACATCGAAACCCTAATCAAAAGCGTTCCCAAATGGTCTGAACTTGCACAGGGCTCCTGCAGTCCTGCTCAACCTCCTCTTAGCACTGGTGGCCATTCGAGCTGTCCRCAAGCCCGGTCAGGGAGCTGGACTCACTGAAAATAAATCCTGCAAAGATAAGGAGTGATTTGCCTTCATCTGAGTTATCTCTCTGAAAGGGACTACAACAGGCTCGGTGCTGTGGCAAGCAGAAGCCACGTCAGTCTCTGATAAAGCTTTGCAATCAAAATGAAAATATAATGTTAAAAATTGCTGAAAAATAGTTACTGTTTTATTAGCAGGAATTTTCCCACATGCACCTCTTATTTGTACAGTTAAAAAAAATTATGATGAATCTAGTACAATCTAGCATAATGCTGTTTCACAGTCAGCTGTCTGCCTGCCATAAAAGGAGACCAGCCCATATACTATATCATAATTAGAATAAGCATTCCTGGAAAAGRCAAAAAAGATAACGGAAAAAAAACCTTCCTGGTTTTGTTGGAACAAACTTAAATAGCTAAGCTAATCTCCACTGACTGCTTTCCAAAGGAAAATGTAAGACCATCAAAAAATAAAGTTACACTGCCCTGTGTCCCTTAATGCCTGCACAGAAAGCCTGACTCTCTGGGGATTCACTCCCTCTGCTGCTCACAGTTCTAAACATTTCATTTTAGATCTTGTGTTAACCTACCAATGGTTTCCAGATAACRCAGTAAGATTTTTCATGAACCAATTATCAGCAAGTTTTATTTTGCTAGCTGCTAGCAATCACTTCCATTTAAAGATGGCTTTAAACAGGACAAGCTCTTCACTAGCTAGGCCAGGGTTATATCCTTTCCCATAAGAAAGATGCAAAGGGAAGTACAAGAGATGTGAGGGAGCCACGAGTCCGCAGAGCCGCAGGCAGGAGTCACTTTGGTGCTGTCACCTGCACAGGGGCTCTGCGAAGGTCACTTCTGCCACCCGAGCAGATGACAGCCCAGGGCCCACGCACATGCAAGAGCAGCCATGCATTAGTGGCTCTCAACTGCTTGCCCTTAAAAAATAAAATCTCTCCTCTTAGCAGTTTCCTAAGTTCATGCTGAYGTTTGCTTATAATTAATCATTCCCTTTGGCCACAGCAGTGCTGTTCTGCCTCGTAATCAGGAAGTTACCAGCATCAGGAGAAGAGCACTAACTGCCCACACGCTTGGCTCTTCCCTGGCAGCAAGGGCAAGGTTATTTAGCTCAAGGCTCTGCTGTTGCAAGCTAGGCTGGTCTTACCTTTGCTGGGATTAAGGCTACCCAAGTGGTCGGTTAACACRACTCAGGTGATATGAGGTAACTTGGTCATACAAACCCAGCCTTTTAAAGAACATTTCAGGCAACATCACGGCTTTCATGTGATTAAATGTCAGGTCACATGCGATACTTTTCCTCACATATTGAAGGGGAATTTCAAAGCCTGTATTTACCTGTCACATTGCTGCATTATGGATATTTCCTTTATTATCTCCTGCAGGTCAGATTCCACAGGAACTTGTTTAATTGCAACAACTTGACCCGTTTCTTTATGAATAGCTTTGAAAACGCTGCCATAGGAACTACAAAACAAAACAGTAAATAAACACTGAAGAGAAGGACAATATTTAAATATTCAAATGTTGTAGCTTTACTTTCTGCAAGTGCAAATGTTGGAGGAAAAAAAGTACTCTTCTGCTAAAAATTATATAATAATTTTTATATATATTTATATTTATATATATAATTTATATTTTTATATATAAATTATAATTTAATTTAAATAACCATTCCACTAGTTTGGAATCACTATAATATAAATAACCACGCACTGAGACACAAAGGAGCCAACCATTGCTACACCGCCCGTAGCTTCGGAATGGCCTTTTGCACAACAAATCATCAAATATGATGTATTTTCCAAAACAAAAAGTGAAAAATCAGAGACCATAGAAAACAGGAGAACACGTACCCTTCTCCAAGCTTCTCCAATACATCAAATACTTCTTCAGGTTGTTTGGTCAAACTGTCCTCATCTAACTTCTTCAGCTGCCTGCACATGTGAGGACACAGAAATTGCAACATTTATTTTTATGGCAATTTAGACTGCACTGAAACAGAAGAATAATTTTAAAAAATGCACTTAATCTACATAAGCCAGGAAGAAACAGGACTCCCAAAGTGGCCTCACTCGCTCAGCACAGGGAAAGGAGCATCTCTACCTGCTGGCGATGCTCTTCCCAACACAGCCCAGGTCCCACTGGCCTTCCTGACCACAAGGGCATGTTGTTTCATAGCCACCTTGTCCATGGGGACCCCCAGGAGCCTCTGCTCAGAGCTGCTTTCCTGCAGACCGGCCCCACGCCAGGGCTGGTTATTCCTCCCTAGGTGAAGGGCTCCGCATTTCCCTCTGTAAGGTTCCTATCTGCCAGCTGGAGAGGTGTCTCCAGCCTGACGAGGTCCCTGAATGGCAGAACGGCCTTCTGGTGTATTAGCAATTAGAATTTCTTTCTAATTTATATAGAATTTCATTCTAATATATTAATTGTTGCATACTTAGTTTGTAAAGATTAATGTTTGTGTCGTGTTGTTAACCCCTTTTGGTAGGAGGAGTTACAGAATTAGAGAGAAATTAAACCTGGAAGCTTTTCTAGTAATTAAGTGGATTCTGGTATAATTACTTTTAAGCCCTATAAAATTTCATAGGGATTTAGATCACAGCAATGGGATTATATTTGAGGATTTAAAATTTCACTTGAAAAGTTTTGATCCTTAATATCCCCCAAGACACTCCACTCCTCTTGTGATATGTGTCTAAACCAGGGACACTCCKCATTATTCTTTCATGCTGGTTATATCCTGAAAGAGGTTAAATTTCAGATGCTGTGTAGCTTGAGAGGAGAAGAAAACTCCATCGGAACTCTGGTGAGAGCAAGAACATTTGATTTGCAGTAAAGTTTCTTGTGCAAGGGCTGATAAGGGTGAGCTGAAATAACCTCCCATGGAAAACAAGGACCAGGCCGGTGTACAAACCTGCGTACCAGGGATCTGCACTTCAATCCCACACACCCTGCAGAGAAAACCCATCCACAAGGCAAGAAGAAACACGCTGTTTTTTCCAGATAACTTATACCAGACTTCAGAGCTGCTGAAAATGCTGAGAAAAAGGGGAGGCGAGGGCAAAAGTTCCCCAAACCAACCACTTTATTAAGTACTCAACAGTCCCCAAACAAGCGGCGTGTCACTTTTATATGAAAAAATGGGGGGCAGGGGGAAAAGCCCCCAAAATAAGACCTCARACCAGCTCATACAAGTGCACAGAGGACACAAATCTCTTCCCACACGTCTTTACTCCTCCCAGACATCTTTAGCTTTACATTAAAGCGACGTTAATTCACGGCGGCCGCTACACMGAACCCAAGGAAGTTTTCACCGCCCCTATGAACGCCACAAACACGGCAGCCCCGGCGCTAAAAACGCCACCATTGCCCCCCTCATTCCTTCAGGGCCAGGTGGAGGGGCCGCTGGCCGCCCCCCGGCCATTGTGCCGATCACAAAGGCCACAGGGGAGGCGCGGGCGCCTATGCGGCCCATACAATGGCTTCCCGAGGCCGGGGGAGCGGCGCAGAGCGGCWGCCTGAGGAAGTGGCGGCAGCGCGAGGGCGGCCGCGGCTCCCCGGCGCTCACCAGCGCCAACCCGCACCGGCACCGGCCCCGCGGCGGCAGGAAGCGCCCCCGAACGGGAAAAAACGCACAAATATACACGGGGAGAGAAGCGACGCGGGAGCTGCCGTCTCCAGAGGGAGCGAGAAATGGCGCGGGGAGAGGATTTTGTGCCGCGGTTCAAAAGCGGCCTGAAGGGTCAATAAGAAGGGGGGAAAGGGCTCGGGGAGCGCGGGCTCGGGAGCCGCCCCGCTGCCTGGACCGGGCTCTGCTCGCGCCGGGAGGCACCGGGGCTCGCGGAGCGCGGCCGGGTCCCGGGGCTCGCGGCGGGTCTCCCCGGGTCCCCCCCGCGTCCCCCGGTCCCCGCGGCGCACTCACCGTCGCGGGTGGCGCAGCTGCACGCTCTCCA